CGCGCTATGCACCGAAAAACACAACAGTTGATCTGGCGCCTGGAAGTAAAGTCGCGCTATGCACCGAAAAACACAGCAGTTGACATGGCGCCTGGAAGTCGCGCTATGCACCGAAAAACACAACAGTTGATCTGGCGCCTGGAAGTCGCGCTATGCATCGAAAAACACAGCAGTTGACCTGGCGCCTGGAAGTCGCGCTATATGCGCCGAAAAACACAACAGTTGATCTGGTGCCTGGATTACCTTGGAGCTCACAGTCACTTTAGTAACCCTTTTTATTTTTATAACACTTCGTCTACACCACATGCAGATGCTCGCGAAACATTTCATTTATACTTATCACATTTGTTTGCAATTCCGGATTTATAGTTAATATTGCTCGAACCACACTTCGCTTCGTAAAGCATCAGTCGAAAATTACTCCTTTTTATCCTACGTACGTAGGATGCATCAGAAATCAACATGAATTCATTTTAAAAAAGATTTTTTATTGATTTATTAAAATCATTAATAAAATTCAAAATCAAGTATTAATACAATCAAGTGGTGCATCGTACTAGATTATATAATATTTGTGCATACATCTGAATGAGAGCTAGCGGTTTTTATCTATTCGGTAAACATTATTTACCAATAGCAATAAGCAATCAGTTGCTACAGTTGCTAAAAGTTCATGCTGTAATAATTGAGATATTATACGAGCTTGCTGGTTGGTTGTGTCGCCCTGCGTAGCGTAGAGTAGCTAGAGACTGATTTGTTTTTCATCGATTAGTTCAAACCAAGTTTGAATTTTATAATCAGGATTCAATAATATCACGAGGCGTACAATTCTCGGATACATAATATCTTTTCGTATATTCTGAGTGAGGGCCGGCCTTTCTTCATCTAATCCATTAACATTCATAATTGAGCGCAAGATGCCAATATGCATTTAAATTTTTTAGTTATAAACGTGTTTCCTTTTTAGCGCATTTTCTCATTAAAGAAAGAAAAAAAGAAAGAATTTATTTTTTATTTTATTTTATTTTAAGACTTATTGAGCGCTTGAGCAATTATTTACGATCACCAAAATAATCCATTGTCCATTAATATGGACTCTGAACGGTTTATCTTAGCGCCTCCCATCGACTTTTTCATAGATTATAAAACAATTTAAATCATGGAGGAGACAGCGTCTGCTGCTCTAATATTCACCGTCATCGCATAATTTCATGATAACCTCGCACGAACCTTCACAAACACAGGCGGGATTTACTTAAAATCTTTTAAAAAATTGACGAGACCTCAATTCGTTTTGGCCAGAAAATTTGATGAAAATTTAATAGGATCCTCAGCTCGACAGGTCCCTTGCATCTTTGGTATCCAGGACCAGGTTTGGAATTAGCCGAGTTCTACGCGGATCACGGAAGAGGAACAAGAGGATTTTTAATCACATATTGTCCACACATTAAATTCGTTTGCTATCGCTTTCCAACCCTGTCGAGTAGTTAATAATAAATAACGCATAAGTAAATGTCTATGGTGTCCTGATAGCGATGGAGGCTGTGAACCACAGAAACCTTTGCGAAGTGGAATCGTTTTTTGCACCAAGACTGTGACACGCGTTTTCATGGATGAAAGTGTATTTGACGGGAAAAATTTTTATGATAAAGTGTTTGATGCAGTAAATTCAGCTAAGGTTAAATTTGCGGATGCGACGGAACTCGAGCCTCTCTGTCGAGTGGAGGACGAGGCTAATCAACGTGGCTCTGCTCATATTTCCATGTACGTCCAGCACAAAGATTGCGATCGACTTCACATTGCAATCTTGACTCGCTTTGCAAAAATTTCAACTATTGGTTCTGTAATTAGTTTCTGTTCTTCTGGTCCCATTGTTTAATGACGACACCTGACCTCTTGTCTGGGCTTACTTTTTGCGTTGAGTTTGAACGCGAACGCTCGATTTGTAGAAGAAAGAGTTGCTCTAGCGACTCATTCATGTTAATCACTTGATTGGTGGTCTGAAGAAATGAAAAATTCGCGTAAATTCACCTACTAAAAATTGCGCAGCTGTTATATAAATGGCGCTCAATTTTTTACACATTTTAAACCGCACGTCGAATATTTTACTCTTTATTTTTTTTTATGGGAGGCACATTTACGAATATGATGAATTCTTGCAATGAATGAAATTAGTTTACTTGGCCTTTTCTGCTCAAGAAACATATTAATAATAAAATGATAGCCAATGGTAAAATCAACTGGCGTTTAACATTATTATTAAATATTAATTAAACATGAATAAAATATGATACCCCTTGATGCTCAAAATATTTTTTATTGATTTATTTTATTGACATTTATTGATTCTCAATATTTATTGATGCTCAAAATATTGTTTGGATGCATTCAATTAATCTCGATTGTTTTGTAGCTCAAGGGTTTCATAAAATGCAGGAGTTCCAGTAGCGTGAACCTTATGTTAAATACAAATAATCAAATTTAACGAACTTCTCGTCCAAAATCAATTTATTATATCCGATAGAACCATGCAGGCACAATTTTCTCTACAGACAAATGTTTGATGATTATTAGCTGCCGGCCTAAATGCTACCTCCATTGAGCAGTACAAAATAACGTTTTGATCCACTGACATGGCTAAAGTGGATCTCTTTGTTTCATTGAGCAGTACAAGACAGCCATCAAAATAACGTTTTGTTTCACTGACATGGCCAAAGTAGATTGTTTGTTTCATTGAGCAGGACAAGACATCAATTAGGTTAACGTTTAATTCCACTTAAAGTAAATTTCATTGTTTATGCTACGATATAAAGATCGGGACGTTAGCTCATTAGCGTGAAGTACGCGTAGTGTGAAGGAAAGCACTGCGAGGTTTACATAATTAGGGAACCCAGCTACAAATATTTGTTAGGAAGATGGCAGAAATATCTAATATACTCTTGAACAGAAAATGTTTCAAATTATATCGAGTTAATAAGAGCCTCATTAATGAATACAAATATTCGAGACTCCGGGCAACTAATTGGCTTCATTCACAGAGATGATAGGGACAATGAACTCGAGGATCATTCAGAAGCTACATCAATAAGGTGACTTAACTTAGGTCAGAATAAATGATATGATGGTCGGTTAAAAAATATACATAATGAGATAAATATCTTTTTACTTGCAAAACGTCAACATCGTGAAGTGCTCGACTGGTGTCTCTTACTTGTGACGTTCTTAGCTAACGTGGTGGAGGTGAGTTCATATCTAGTCTTATCACGTGGTGGTGGTGAGTTCATATCTAGTCTTATCACGTGGTGGAGGTGAGTTCATATCTAGTCTTATCACGTGGTGGGGGTGAGTTCATATCTAGTCTTATCACGTGGTGGGGGTGAGTTCATATCTAGTCTTATCACGTGGTGGAGGTGAGTTCAGTAGCAGGGAGAGATTCGTTCTTTTAAGAATAGAGAAATCTTCTCTTAAAAATGACAACTGTTCTGACTTATATTTTGATTGCTTAGTGATTGCTTAGTGAATTTTCAACAATAAATAAACAAATGCAAGCATGAATGTGAATAGTGAACATTTCATTCAATTCGCGGTGTCCAAAAATGCTTAATGAAGTTCATTGATGGAATGACTATCATGATGGTCATCATCATGACCATCTTTGATTTGACATTGAGCAATCAAGCGCCGCGTGCGAGACACACACAATTTAAGAATTCGAGTGACGAGATGGATTAATTTGTAGGCATGAGAAGTTTCTGCAAAAACATGTGCTGCAGTTTTGTAGAATTATTGGCATGCAGTACCAATAAATTGTGATTGTGACTTTGAAGTGTGCAAAAGGCAGGAAAATTATTGGTTTTTATAGAATGATATCAGGAATCGAAGAAATTAGTGAGTGCATATATAGTACGTAGGAGAATTTATTATCAGTAATTCAGCAGTTAAGAAAAAACAATGGGGAGAAAAAATTGGACCGAAAAGATTGCAACTAAGCAATTTTTCTGCATAACAACATTTGTAAAACTTAGCAATTGCAACTCTACCCAAATAATTTGCAAGCTTTGCACAAAAGGGGCGGGAAACAGCAATAGAAACAAAAGCAATAATCATTGGAACGGTTACGAACGTTCAGAATGAGGCTGGCTTTATGCAGAGAAGGATTTGTAGTCGAGGACAATAACAGCAGCGGGCTCATTACCACTCCGAGTGGCCACTCGAGACCAGCTGTCGGCTTCTTTTTTACGCGAGTGGCGGCGAGAGGGCCACTCATGCTGACCTTAATAATGTGGCCCACTCTCGACCTTATGAGTGGGCACGTTCCTTAAAATTCTCCATCTTTAATGGGCACTTCAGACCAGCTGTGAGTGCGCGCGTATCTCTCTAAAAATATGCGCTCTGTCTCGTGAATTATAATAGTATTCTTGCCGTTAGAATAAGATTTTATTCTGTCTTTTACGACCTCATGTCTGGGGTGAGGACGCTCTTCGTTAGCTTTTTTTCATGCACGTTCCCGAAAAATTGAAAACTAATCACATATGATTAGTTTAGTCAACATATTTTTCAGAATGAAATCGGAGTAACAAAATTGCTATGAACAAGTAGAGTTGGGGAACAGATCTGGACGTGAATGCTAGTAGTGCTAACATATTTCTTTAATATGAAAATATAAATTTTTCAATTTGTTTCCGAAGAAAGCGAGTAGGGAATTAAAAAAAAGTATACGATGAAACTATTATAGTTATGCGAGTAAAATTCTGCCGATTCCTACCCATAGCTATGATTAATTATAAATAAATTTTTAAATGTTTAAAATGTTAAGTGATTGCTTGAGCAGCTAACTACGTGCGTGGCCTAGAATTTAATATCCTATATAAACTTGCGGGATATTTTTTTGTGATGCAGGTCCGATGAAGAGCAATTACAGGATATTGATGATCATGAAGGTCCATTTGGCGGCGGCGTTGCTGGTAATTTGTTCCTCATTTGCATTGCCAAATTACCACTTAGAGGTAAAAGGCCTCACCGCCATTACTGCTGTAGTGGCTACCACCATCACTTCTGTAGTGGTCACCACCATCACTTCTGTAGTGGCCACCACCATCACTTCTGTAGTGGCCACCACCATCACTTCTGTAGTGATCACCACCATCACTTCTGTAGTGGCCACCACCATCACTTCTGTAGTGGCCACCACCATCACTTCTGTAGTGGCCACCACCATCACTTCTGTAGTGGCCACCACCATCACTTCTGTAGTGGCCACCACCATCACTTCTGTAGCGGCCACCGCCAATCTTTACGTTTTTGCGCTGTCTTTGTTCTTCCATTAACTGCAGGTGATGTCAAATCGAATGATTAGTATTTATTGGAAAATACTGCCGCTGACGCTTAAATATATAAGTTTTGAGATAGGAATTGCATTGCATCTATTCAGTTCACTGTACGATTACAATTTGACGGCAATTTCCATTTTATGGCAGATTTCTTATTATACGCGCTAACTTCTTCGAAATGATTCCATGTCTTCACCTGTTCCATAGTTTTCGTTTATACAAAAAAACTTTTATGTTCATAAAAAATTGAAAAGCATTATGCCCTCGTCAATCAATAGTAATTAATATTGCTTTTTGTCATAGTTACAATAAAAGTCAATGCATGATAATTTCAAAACGCTTGCAATTCATATTAACTGTTTATTCACCGTGCCCAATTACGGCCATTCCCGGGGCCATACTTTCAAAAAAAAGTTAAGAGATCGTAAGTTCATCAGCCAATCATTGATGGCCTTGCAAGCAAAATCCACCAATCATATACAAGAAAATAGAGCGTAAGTATTTACGTTCACTTAGCGATTTTAGAAAGCATGGCCCCTCTCATTGCCCGATCACGGCTCGCCAGGCGCGCAGTTTATCTTCACGGCTTCCAAATCACCGCCACAATTTCCCGCCACAGCGGCCACGCTGCGCTCCCAGGGGCGCGGCGAGCCCCTGAATGTGAACAAGAAAAGCCCTATAAGCTTGCAACCAATGAAAAGTTCCACCATAAATAAGCCTGATCGATGAATTCTATATAACTTGCCAAACCCCCGCCAGTAAAATTCTTTACCCGCAAGATTCTGCAGTTCTTATAGGTTCTCTTAGATAGAACTGAGGATCGAGCTGATAATCTAAGTATATTGGAGTCGGGGAAAACTGTCGGATAAGATACAGGATAAACGGATAAATTTCCACGTCACTTTTATGTTACTTTGTGAATTACCACGAAGTTTTATGCAGGGCGATTCAGACCAACGTAGCCTGGCTTCCCTCGGCTTTAGGGGAAAATATTTCCCCAATCAAGTTTGTTTACTGCGCTCCCAGGGGCGCGGCGAGCCTCTGAATGTGAACAAGAAAAGCCCTACAAGCCTGCAACCAATGAAAAGTTCCACCATAAATAAGCCTGATCGATGAATTCTATATAAAATGCCAAACCACCGCCAGTAAAATTCTTTACCCGCAAGATTCTGCAGTTCTTATAGGTTCTCTAAGATAGAACTTTGGATCGAGCTGATAATCTAAGTATGGGAGTCCGTGAAAACTGGCGGACAAGGTACAGGATAAACGGATAAATTTTCACGTCACTTTTATGTTACTTTGTGAATTACGACAATGTTTTATGCAGGGCGATTCAGACCAACGCAGCCAGTCTTCCATCGGCTTTAGGGGAAAATATTTCCCCACTCAAGTTTGTTTTGCTGGGAAATGTAAAAATTTATTTTTCGATATTTTAGAAATTGCAGTCCTCGAAAGCGTGCGCAGGGACACAATAGTACTGAGTAAATATGTCATTTCTCTTTTTAATCGTAGTCTACTTTTCACACAAATGTTAAAATTGGGCATCCTGGCATTTTCCGCGTTTTGCAGCGTTGAAATGTTTTTATAACTCTGGGTAGCTTATCTGTGTTTTTCTTTTGCTTGTTTCACCTGAATTACGTGATTTATCTCGTGCAAAAATTAGAAGGGCAGAAGTTTTAGAACGGGAACTTTACTTGCGCATCCTCCTCATTCAGATCTGTGCGCGTCCATGCCGAGCAGTGCAATGTTCCGGTGTCTGATAGTGATTTTTAGAGTTCTAGCTCACACGACCGGTGTTACTGACCTACGGATTTTAGAATTCCTGTATATTTTTAGGCAGAAACCTAGTTTAAATGCAGCCTTCAGCTCCTATCTCCTTGATATTGTAAATAGATAGGCCTGTCTCCTTGTGTTTTTTTTTATTTTTGTCAATTTACGTTTTTATCTTCTATGTGAATTTAGTTTTTAAATTGATTCCGCTTTTCTTATAGGTTTTGAACTTTTGAACTTACGATGGAGCTGGACTCCGAAACGTTCTCATTCTTATGAAATGGTTACTATTCTGGATGTTTTCCTTGATTTTAAATGTCTGATAAACTTGCGATTTAAGCATTCTAGTAATTTTAAAAATTTCCAAACTATATATGGGAACATTTTTGTATTTATTTTCATCGCATCACTGTCCCAAAACGTCGATTATGAACTCTTTAAATCCACGCAGGAGTTCAAACCATCACAGAAACTTAGCGACTCTCCATTAGCATGGCTAGGCAAGTTCCTGAAGTTACCTGCCAAAAAACCGCGTGAAAACGCCGTCGCAAAGCCTAAAAACTGCGACCGAAACTTGGGTGTATAGCCAACATTTAGGCTCTTGGGCCGCCTTCTTATCAAGGCACACGAGACTTGTGTCTACTCAAGTCTGAAGGCCAGATACCGCGATATCATCACAACGAATGACACTTTGCAATCACCTAAAAAACCATATTGGGTTCCTAACATAGCCAGTCGTAGACTAATTGACACGACATGGCCAATCGAAGGCAGAGATGTTGATAAAATAACGGTTAACGCATGGATCTTGAGAATGTAAAGGTTATATAAAAAAGATGCTGAACACAACAGTTGATCTGGCGCCTGAAAGTCGCGCTATGCACCGAAAAACACAACAGTTGATCTGGCGCCTGAAAGTCGCGCTATGCACCGAAAAAACACAACAGTTGATCTGGCGCCTGAAAGTCGCGCTATGCACCGAAAAAGGAACTAATCATAAAATCATAAAAAATAAAAAATCTGGCGCCTGAATTACCTTGGAGCTCACAGCCGGCGCGGCAGCTGCTGACTTGTGTTGTACATTACCAGGCGCTGTTCATGTTCCTGATCAGAATCCTGCGAGTGTCTTTTCAATTCCTGCACTTTTGTAACTCCTGTCATTAATTCAAATTTACACTGTGCAGTTGAGGGGCACGCCAAACATTTTAATGATGATTATCGCTGTTTGTCTACATTTTCTTATTTATAATTAGATTCCTCGACTCACCGTTCGCTTCGTAAAGCTATGGTCGAAAATTATTATTTTTTCTCCTATGTGGAATGCATCAGAAATCTATAGGCATTCATTTTAAAATAAGATTTTTTATTTATTAGTACTAACGAGGAATTAGTTTTAAATCAGGATTCAAAACGATCACGAGGTGTATAATACTCGGATACATAATATCTATAATATCTGAGTGATAGCCCGCTGTTCTTCATCTATTCGATAATACTCATAATTGAGCACAAGATGCCAAAATTCATTTGAATTCTGTTGCTTGAAATGCGGTTTCATTTTTCCGCAACGTGCTGCATGCCAAGCCCCAAGAGGTGTTACCAGTAATCCCACAGATCCCCACACGTCCAGTCTCCTATGAGGAGATGAAGGACAGCAATAACGAATAAATGAACCTAGCATTGCAAATAACTACAATGAAAGAATTAGCGGCTCTCCGAAATATGAGTGAGATGAGACAACTCAAAAAATAAAACTGTGTTTGCTAAGGGAATAAATGGAGAAACCTGAGCGTTTAGAGGAGTAAATAGAGATCAATAAAGTTGCTAGAAGCTCTTAAAAGGGAAAATAAATGCCAGTTGAATTGTGAAAATAGTTAAAGCTATAAAGCTTGAATTTATCTTAAATTATATACACAACGGTTGCTACAAATATTACAGCTGATATCAAAAGTAAAGCTATTCTTAAATGATGAGAAATTTCGATGATGAATGGAGGCATGGATGAATTGGAACATTGCACTGCCCAGACCAATAACGTCTATGAAAATCTAACAGTGATCCCTGAGTGAACTATATATGCCTGCTCATGTCAAGGATAATACTAATTTTGACAGAGACTCGACTAAAATTGATTAAGTTCAATGCTTTATTTTGGAACGAAAATAATGCCACATCAATGTTCTGATATGTACTGACGTTATCGATCATTGACTCCAAATGAAATTTAAAGATCAATTAGAGTTGAAATTGAATGCAGAAATTTTTGATGCTCAGTGTTCTGCAGAGCGAGAAGTCTAGCCGTGCAACTCTTTTATTTATTTATTTTATTATAAGACATATTGAGCTCTCGAGCAATTATTTACGCTCACCAAAATTATCCATTGTCCATTAATATGGACGCTGAACGGTTTATCTTAGCGCCTGCCATCGATTTATTCACAGATTATAAAACGATTTAAATCACGGAGGAGACAGCGTCTGCTGCTCTAATATTCGCCGTCATCGCATAATTTCATGATAACCTCGCAACGAACCTTCCACAAACACAGGCGGGATTTGCTTAAAATCTTTTCAAAAATTGACGAGACCTCCACTCGTTTTGGCCAGAAAATTTGATGAAAATTTAATAGGATCCTCGGCTCGACAGGTCCCTTGCATCTTTAGTATTCAGGACCAGGCTTGGAATTAGCTGAGCTCTGCGCGGATCATCTGTAAAGGAAGAGGCAGAGAAGGATTTTTAATCACGTATAGTCAGGACTAATTCGTTTATTATCGCTTACCAGCCCAGTCGAGAAGTTAATAATAAATAACACATAAGTTAATGTCTATGGTGTCCTGATGGCGATGGAGGCTGTGAACCGCAAAAACCGTTGCGAAGCGGACGCGGTGTTTGCATCAAGACCAGAGACACGCACGGCATTTCATGTTGGATGAAGGTGTTGCAAATCATGTCTTCATTTATGATTAGTGTATGATAGGGCCTTCATTTATGTTGAGGGGGTTTGACGAGGTACATTCATTCATGATGAGGGTTGATAGGGTATATTCATTTTTGGTAGGGTGTACGATAAGAGATATTCAATAATGGAAAGCTGTTAATATGGTGCATTAATTTATGACAGGATGTTCGATAGGATATGGATCACTAAAAATGCGCATTGCAAAGACATATAACGCTAAAAAATATAACTCAGTACTCACTGCAGTGAGTGTCAGAGAGCGCA